AACTAAGGGGCAGCAACCCAACAACGGGTTGTCGGATTCGTCTGAAAATTTCAGGGCAGATAAATCGAAATCTGATGAACAATTTTGCCACCTGTCAGATTTAGATTTGCTCTAAATGCTTAAGTTTCAGAGATATAAACCAAAAACTGCATTTTACCCCTATGTTCTATTTTTAACCAATTCGGCCATAATGGTTGGAAGGCGGGGTCATCGGACAAATTTTTTAAACTAGATATCCTAAAAATGATTATGGCCAAGTATGGTTAAATTTGTCTCAGTAGTTTCAGAGAAGAAGATTTTTGTAAAAGATTACAAAAATTTACAAAAAATTGTTAAAAATTGACTATTAAGGGCAATAACTCCTAAAGGGGTCGACTGACAATTTTGGTCATACAACTTATTTGTAGATCTTACTTTGCTGAACATTATTGCTGTTTACAGTTTATCTCTATCTATAATAATATTCAAGATAATAACCAAAAACTGCAAAATTTCCTTAAAATTACCAATTCAGGGGCAGCAACCCAACAACAGGTTGTCAGATTTGTCTGAAAATTTCAGGGCAGATAGATCTTGACCTGATAATCAGTTTTACCATTGTCAAATTTACTCTAAATGCTTTGGTTTCAGAGATATAAGCCAAAATCTACATTTTCCCCTATGATCTATTTTTAGCCATGGCGGCCATCTTGGTTGGTTGGCGGGGTCATCGGACACATTTTTTAAACTAGATACCCTAATGATGATTGTGGCCAAGTTTGGTTAAATTTGGCCCAGTGGTTTCAGAGAAGATTTTTGTAAAAAGCTAACGACGACGACGACGACGCCGACGGACGACGGACGCCAAGTGATGAGAAAAGCTCACTTGGCCCATCGGGCCAGGTGAGCTAAAAATTTGGGCAGGGGCTAACCCGCTAGGTCTGGGGGACATTCACCCAATATAAGTATGCTGAAAGAGACAATATAATAATTGTTCATAGAAAAGTAACACTAAACAATTCTGAAAATGGAAAATATCAAGCAGAAATATTAAGCACCCCCCTGAAAGAATTGCACCCTCCCATGGAAAAAAATCAAGTCATTCCATTGTAGTCTTACAATAGTTACTGAAGACCCCTTATCATTATTTAAATTAGTTATCAAGTTGTGACCATTTGAAATTGTTTTTTTACAATTTTCCCATAGACTTCTATAGTAAACCCTTATGTTCTATTTTAAGCCATGGCGGCCATGTTGGTTGGAGGGCAGGGTCATCAGATACACTTTTCAATGAAGATACCCTATTAAAAATTATGGCTACGTTTAATTCTATTTGGCCAAGTAGATAAGTGGAGAAGATTTTTGTAAAAGATTACAAAAATTTACGAAAAAATTGTTAATAAAATGCTCCGCAGGGCGCAGCTTGATACGACCGCAGAGGTCGAACCCTGAACAGTTGCGGCAAGTATGGACACAACATTCAAGCTTGATACAGCTTTGCATTTGGATTGTGATTAAATATTTGACACAGCATAGGTTTCTGACACAGAATGAATGTGGTCTAAGAACTTAAAAATTTTAAATTGGACATTCACCTATTATGGTCCAATATCCAAAATCTAAATACATGGTTAGATTCAGCATATCAAAGAACCCCAAGAATTCAATTTTTGATAAAATCAATCAAAGTTTAATTTTGGACCCTTTTGAACTCAATGTGGACAAAGTTGATAACGGGGCCCAAAAATCAAAAATCTAAATACATGGTTAGATTCAGCATATCAAAGAACCCCATATATTCAATTTTTGTTGAAATCAAACAAAGTTTAATTTTGGACCCCGGTTTGGACCAACTTGAAAACTGGGCCCATAATCAAAAATCCAAATACATGTTTAGATTCAGCATATCAAAGAACCCTAAGAATTCAATTTTTGCTAAAATCAAACTAAGTTTAATTTTGGACCCTTTGGACCTTAATGTAGACCAATTTGAAAACGGAACCAAAAATTAAGAATCTAAATACACAGTTAGATTCGGCATATCAAAGAACCCCAATAATTCAATTTTTGATGAAATCAAAAAAAGTTTAATTTTGGACCCTTTGGACCTCAATGTGGACCAATTTAAAAATGGGGCCCAAAATCCAAAAACTAAATACACGGTTAGATTCAGCATATTAAAGAACCCCAAGAATTCAAGAATAAAACCCCATTGAAATTGGTCAAGAAATAAGCAATTTATACGAAGTATCTTCTTTAGCACAATACTGTGCAATTAAATATTTCTTGCTATTGCGCAATACTGTACAATTGACAATTTCTTGCTATTGCGCAATATTGTGCTATTGGATATTTCTTGCTATTGCGCAATACTGTGCAATTGAAGATTTCTTGCTATTGCGCAATACTGTGCAATTGAAGATTTCTTGCTATTGTGCAATACTGTGCAATTGAAAATTTCTTGCTATTGCACAATACTAATTATATAATAATTTACACATCCTGTTTGGTGTGTATCTCCTACCATATCATTATTATTTGCTTTTAAATATAAATCAGAAATAACCAACTTAAAATGGAAAATTTTAATAGAAACCCCCCCCCCCCCCCCCCCCCCACCTCAAATTTTTTGAATCCCCTTATGATTCATCACCCTCAAACTCAATCCCAGCCTTCCCTTTGTGGTATGGTACCTTGCAGTACAATTTCAGAGAGATCCATACACTTGAACACAAGTTATTGTCTGGAAACTAGAAAAATGTGTTTTTTGGCCCCTTTTTGGCCCCAAATTCCTAAACCTTTAGGGCAATTACCCCCAAACTCAAACCCAGCTTTCCCTTTGTGATATGGAACCTTGTAGTACAATTTCAGAAAGATCCATACACTTACACACAAGTTATTGTCCTGAAACTAGAAAAATGCTTGTTTTTTGCCTCTTTTTGGCCCCTAATTCCTAAAATATTGAGGCAATTACCCCCATCATCAATCCCAGCCTTCCCTTTGTGGTATGGTACCTTGCAGTACAATTTCAGAGAGATCCATACACTTGAACACAAGTTATTGTCTGGAAACTAGAAAAAATGCTTATTTTGGCCCCTTTTTGGCCCCCAATTCCTAAACGTTTTGGCAATTACCCCCAAACTCAATTCCAGCTTTCCCTTTGTGATATGGAACCTTGTAGTACAATTTCAGAAAGATCCATACACTTACACACAAGTTATTGTCATGAAACTAGAAAAATGCTTGTTTTTTGCCCTTTTTTGGCCCCTAATTCCTAAAATTATGAGGCAATTACCCCCAAAATCAATCCCAGAACTCCCTTCGTGATATGAAATCTTGTGGTACAATGTCAGAGAGATCCATACACTTACACACAATTTATGTCTGGAAGTTACAAAAATGCTTATTTTTGGCCCCTAATTCCTTTACTGTTGATACCATAACCCCCAAAATCAATCCCAACCTTCCTTTTGTGGTATTGAACCTTGTGGTAAAATTTCATAGAGATCCATTCACTTAAACTAAAGTTAGAGTGCGAAAACCAATGTGTCTTCGGACGACGCCGGACGACGACGCCAACGTCATACCAATATACGACCACAAAAATTTTTTTGCGGTCGTATAAAAATGGACTATAAAGGGCAATAACTCCTTAAGAGGTCAATTGACAATTTTGGTCATGTTGACCTATTTGTAGATCTTACTTTGCTGAACATTATTGCTGTTTACAGTTTATCTCTATCTATAATAATATTCAAGATAATAACCAAAAACTGCAAAATTTCCTTAAAACTACCAATTCAGGGGCAGCAACCCAACAATGGGTGTCTGATTCGTTTGAAAATTTCAGCGCAGATAGATCTTAACCTGATGAGCATTTTTACCACATGTCAGATTTGCTCTAAATGCTTTAGTTTCAAATATAAGCCAAAAAATGCATTTTACTCATATGTTCTATTTTTAGCCATGTTGGCCATGTTGGTTTGTAGGCAGGGTCATCGAACAAATTTTTTAAAGTAGATACTCTTATGATGATTGTGGCTAAGTTTGGTTAAATTTGTCTCCGCAGTTTCAGAGAAGAAGATTTTGTAAAAGATCACAAAAATTTACAAACAATTGTTAAAAACTGACTATAAAGGTCAATAACTCCTTAAGGGGTCAATTGACACTTTTGGTCATGATGACCTATTTGTAGATCTTACTTTGCTGAACATTATCGTTGTTTACAGTTAACCTTATCTATAATAATATTCAAGATAACCAAAAACTGCAAACTCTCCTTCAAATTATCAATTCAGGGACAGCAACCCCAACGACGGGTTGTCTGATTTGTGTGAAAATTTCAGGGTGGAAAGATCTTAACCTGATGAACATTTTTACCCAATGTCAGATTTCCTCTAAATGCTTTAGTTTCAGAGATATAAGCCAAAAACTGCATTTTAGCCCTATGTTCTATTTTTAGCCATATCGGCCATGTTGGTTGACAGGCTTGGTCATCAGACACATTTTTGAACTAAATACCCTAATGATGATTGTGGCCAAGTTTGGTTAAATTTGGCCCAGTAGTTTCATAGAAGATTTTTGTAAAAGTTAACGGACAACAGACGACGATGGATGCCAAGTGATGAGAAAAGCTCACTTGGCCCTTTGGGGCAGATGTGCAAAAAATTAAAAAAAAAGGCATGAAGGGCCTACTAAAAATTCATACTGCTTTTGGACAAGTGAACCAAAACTATTGTTTATTTTTTTTATCTGTTGTCTTTTAGTTTTGTTCCTTCTGATTGCTGTCTCATTGCAATTCACACAACATCTCCTTTTATTAAAAAAAAAAATACCCAAAAAAACAACACTTGAAGCCTCTTGCTATAAAAACTCGAGAACTTAGATTTCCTCATGAACCTGTTATAAATGTCACCAAATGCTTCATTGCAATACTCTTTTCTGAACTTCTTCTAAGCTCCATAATTAACGTCATTGAATTACATATATGACACTATAGTTGTTTTTGTATGATCCTGATTTTTTATTTGACATGTGAATCATAAAATTTCATTCAAAACAATTTAAATACATGTAATATCCTATTCAACTTTAAAATTTACAACTACTGTAATAGATATATAAATAAATTCTTCATAACAAAATATGGAAAAAACTAAACAATGGATAATTCAGCAGCATGTGTTGCAGAATAAATACATATGTAAATAAGTATAAAGTTGGGAAACCAGCTGCGGATCTAGGACTTTTAACATGTTTAAAGGGGGGTGTAATTCCATAAAACAGACTATATATTTTATAATATCAAATGTTTTAAAAAATAATGAAAATGAGATCAAGGTCATGTAAAACAGACTAATTTGACCAACTGCTAAAATATCTGATGAAAATATCTGACCATGAAAAATTTAACATTGACCAAAGATAAATGAAATAGGTTCAAGGTAAGGGCACCCTGACTGACATATATATATACATGTTACCTATTCTGACATCGGACTCGGACTTCTTTTAAACTGAGTTTAACTTTGCGTCTTGCTATGTGTTTCTTTATTCTACATTGGCTAGAGGTATAGGGGGAGGGTTGAGATCTCACAAAACATGTTTAACCCCGCCGAATTTTTGCACCTGTCCCAAGTCAGGAGCCTCTGGCCTTTGTTAGTCTAATATGTTTTTAATTTTAGTTCATTTATATGTTTTGGAGTTTAGTGTGACATCCATTTTCACTGAACTAGCACACAATTTTATTTAGGGGCCAGATGAGGACCACCTCCGGTGTACGGGATATTCTCGCTGCATTGAAGACCAATTGGTGGTCTTCGGCTGTTGTCTGCTCTTTGGTCGGGTTGTTGTCTCTTTGACATATATTCCCCATTTCCATTCTCAATTTTATGTATCTTGCGACCATTTTTTATACCAAATATAGTTGTCTTATTGCTCATAATAAGTAAAATATTCAAGCGATAAATAACTTAACCTTTCTTTAGTATTCACAGGACCATGAAATGATCAAGGATCCATGAGGTCAAGGACAACAGACATAAAAAAAAAATATGACAGATAGAAACTTCAAAACATAAGGCATCTATATACAAAATATGAAGTATCTAGGTTTCCTACATGTACCTTTTGAAATATAAACTTATTACAAAAACTATAGTTTATGCTATCTCTGCCTAATAAGCATCCCTATGTCTCACTTTCTGTGACACTTGTTGGGGAGACAAAACATTAATATGAAAACAATTAATCCTAACTTGCTTTTTTTCTAAAATAAATAATAAGTGATGAGATCAGTCCATGAGTATTACGTCTTTTTAGAAGTTCACGTATGTTCACTCTGTAAATGTACAAATACATCAGGATCTTCCGTTTCAGAGATGACATATATAGTGGAATCAGGCAGATTCAACATCGAGGAATTTTCTAAGGTATAAACAGTTTCAGTCTGTTCCATGTTGTTAGGATCTGCATTTTCATTCAAGTAAATGACTTTTATGTTTTTAGTTTGCTCAGCAAGCTCAGTGTCTTTATGTTGGTCTACGGTCTGCAGATTATCAGCATCTATTAAGACACGCTCACCTTCAAATTCATAAGAAACCATTTTTGACATTTTCTTTTCTGCTTGAAGGGCCTCTCCTGCCATAGTTTTATGAGTATGTGTTCCAAAGTGACGTTTTAAATGTGACATTTCAGCAAATCTTACATTACATGTTTCACATACATGCTTTTTACCATTTTCCAAATGTTTATGTTTCATGTGACGATTTAATGCAGCTGGAATGGGGAATTTTCTACCACATATTTTACAACTATAAGGTTTTTCTCCTGTATGTGTGCGCAAATGTCGAATGTATATAGCTTTCTGTGAGCTTCGTTTTCCACAATAACTGCATTCATATACACGGAAGTTAAGTTTTTCTGTGTTCACTTGATGTCCATGGCTATCCAATACGTGATTATTCAATCCATCAATTGATTTGAATTTAGCATTACAAAGTTCACAAACATTTGTTTTATCGTCACTATGTCTTTTAATGTGGACCCTTAGACAACCGTTTGTTTTGAAGCAAGCTCCACACTCTTCGCACATGAAAGGTCTCAGATTCACATGAACACTGTCAATGTGATCTTTTAGTTTTCGTTCTTTTAAAAATCGAGACCCGCAAAGATAACAGGAAAAAAGACTTTCTGGGGTGTGTTCATATGTTGAATGCTTCTTTAACTTTACAGCCGAGTCAAATTGTTCACCACAGTTCTCACAGATATACATGTGAGAATTATGGACTTCTTTGGAATGATTCATCAATAACTCGGAAGTTTCAAAGTCAGCTTTACATATCTTACAAATATAGAAGAAATCTTGTCTGTGCTGCCACATATGTTTTCTCAGCTCTTCTTTTGTTGTGAAAAATGTAGAACAGACCTTGCATATTTCTTCATTTCCCTTATGACTTTGTCTATTATGGTTTTTTAAGTATCTTAACAATTCAAATGTTTTCCCACATTTTGGACAAATAAAATTGCTACAATGGCCAGTCTTGTGTGTCAGCATGTGTTGATTTTTATCTGTCAATGTTTCAAAGAAAATGCCACACTCGTAACAAACTTCGCGTTGATCATCATGCTCTTTCCTCATATGCTGTATTAGGTATCGTTTGGTTGTACACACGTGAGCACAAACCTTACAGTTATAGTCTCCTTTGTCATGAAGAGTTTCGTGTCTTCTAAGTCTGTGCTGTGTAACAAAGGTTTTGCTGCATGTATTACACTGGAAATGACCGCTGTGGATCTGCATGTGACTTTCCAGTCCAGCTTTTGTCCGTAATGGCTTCAAACACAGATTACATGTGTAAGTTTCTTTACTGGCCTCATTCAAATTAACAATCACCCCTTTCTTCATACAATAATTTGATTCAATATAATTTTGAATCTCTTCTTCATTCTTAGTTTCTTCCTCTGAGTGTAATGCTTTATGTTTGTTAAGTCTGATAGCTGAGTTGAAAGTCTGGCTACAAATTTCGCATTCATAGGCATATAACTGCTTGTGAACATTTCTTAGATGTGACTGGTACCGTTTGTGATGGAATTCTTTATTGCACAGTGTACAGGTTATTTTCTTCTGTTTATGTTCAATTCTGTTTTCTGACTTCAAAATATTCTCTCCACTTTCCTCCCCTTCATCACAACTATCGGCCGAATCTTCATTGTTTTCATAATCTTCATCATCATCTTTGTCATTTTCATAATACTCAACTTGATCACTGACACAATCTTCATCTTCATTGAAGGACATTACTAAATTTTCCCCTTGTTCAAATCCTTCAATGTTTTCAATCTCTTTTAGTTCTAGATTTTCTATATTGACTCTATCCTTCTGAAGTATACCTAAAACAATCTGACCTGTGTCTTCTGAATAGTCAATTTCTGTTTTTATCGTTGCTACCTTTTCATTGACCTTGCTTAAATCATCATCAGTTCTGCTATGAATTTCATTAACCTGGTTCAAATCAACAGTTTTTCTTTGACTTTTTAGAACCGGATTTAAATCAGTTTTACTTTTATTTTCAAATTTTAGCTCCTTAGTTTCAGATTTGAAACTAGAAAACTTTACATCATCTTCTTGAACTTTTGCTTTGAGTACATTATCTAATTTGGAAGAATTTATATTATTCATATTAGCTTTCCTCATTTCGGCTTTTTGCAAAATACTTTCCTTGGAGTTAATTCTATTTGACTTCCGTGTTGGAACAACTTTATCGATGGGTGGTACCTTTTCAATGTTGTTTGTGACATGTTTTTTTATCAGCGATTCTTTGATGCCTATTTCGACTTCACTTTTTCTTTTCCTATTTTTAGTGTTCATGTGTGACATTAAGAGATCATCACCGGATTTACTAATTTGAGTTTGAATAATTTTCTGATTATGTGACTGTATTTTGCTGGATATGTTTTCTCTTGTTTGAGAGCATCTGTAAGTTTCTAAATAATGAGAAAAATAGATTAAATATCATATGATTGTTAAAGAATTTTCTACAGTTTGTGAAACATTACAAAAATGTAAAATTTTGCTGTCAAATAGATGGATGTTAATAACAAGATATACATACTTTTGGAAAAACTAGCTAATTTATAGGTCCTCACACTGACAGAAGTAATATACTTATACACTTATACAAGCAATACTCATTTAATGGAACAGGAAAATAATTTTGGAGATAGAGTTATCTCCCTTAGTCAATGAAAATCATTTTTTTATAGTAACAAATATAAAAGTAACATTCTTTTCTTATTTTTAATTTCTTTTGACTCCATTGATCTTGTACTTTACTATTCATAATAATATAATTTTAAAAATAAATTCAAAAGCCTTCACGGAGCAATTTTTCCAGCAATTTGGTATTTCTTAAATTATATATGTGCACAGCAAATTTCTTTGTATAATGAGTTCTTGAGAAAAAAGGTTAAACTGCAATCAAAAGGTAGTAGGCAAAATATACCAAAAAAAAGTCTAAGGCATGTTTTGATCATCAAAATCTTCAGATTTTCATGAGTTTATAAAAAAAATTCTTGAATAAGGAAATTTTAATGAGAAGCATAAGGGGAGATAATTAAAAGCCAACAATTCCACTAAATAATATGAACATAATTTGAAAACAAAACATGCAAAAGTGTTGTTGTAACTTTCTAATATGATGGGGTACTAAATCTTGATCATTTCGCAAGGAAAGTCATCATTTATTTTATTAGTTTTTCAACCCTTTAAATAGTTTTTTTCCACGTTTTTACCACTTGATTTTATGACTGAAAACTAACCTTTACAAAATGCAAAGAACTTTTCTATAAGCTCCGAATGTTGACCTAAGAATTTGTTTCCAACTTCAGAGCCTCCAATATAATATTTGTTCTCTGGTAAATTGACAGTTATATAAAGACTTTCTTCCTCATCTGTCTTCAAGTTCTCACACTGCAAAATAAAATAAAAATTCCCATTTGTAATTCACTAATTCTGTACACACTAAATGATATTTAAGAAAACATTACTATTAGTTGTGTTGAGTTTCATCTCTAGAAAATAATACATGTTACACCACTGTACCAGGTTAAGTGAAGGATTGAGCGCTAACAAACATGTTAACCCTGTCACATTCTATATGTTCCTATTCCAAGTCAGGAGACTGTAATTTAGTACTTGTCATTAGTTGATGTCCTTCATAATTGTTATTCATTTAGTGTCATGAATCAAGTCGTTGTTTTTTTCGTGAACTGTTTCACATTTTGTCATGTCTGGACCTTTTATAGCTACCTTTACTGTATGGGTTTTGCTCATTTTTGTAGGCTGTACAGTGACTGATTAAATCCACATCATTTGATCTCATGTGGATATTTGCCTCATCGGCAATCATACCACATCTCCCTTTTTTATATGTGTATATTTCTACTGTTTAAAGTAACTGTTATCTGACCAGAAGTGGTATATTGATCCCCTATTCACATTTGACTGGTTGTTTACATCACACCTATAATCTATTGACTACCAGTATGACCAGTTTGTTTTTGATTGGCTTATTACATCATATCAACAAATTATGTTTCCTACTTGAAAAAAAGGGTAGAACAAACAGTTAAGAGTCAAACTGAACTATTCTCAAACATCTGATCTGATGACTCTCAGATCACAACTGTTATCCAACTTAACTACAGTCTCTGATTTCAAGTAATAAACAGATTTGGTCTTCAAGTATTTAAAACAAAACAGCTGTTGTCTTAAGTTAATCAATAACAGTATATTGAATCCATTCATAAACATGAGGCTCATGAGAGCCTGATATCCCTCACCTGTAATTTCAGTTTCAGGCATTTGACTTATTTGTAAATCTTACTTTGCTGAACAATTTTGTCATTTACACTTTCTCTCTTTCTATAATAATATTAAAGATAATACATAACCCAAAACTGTAAAATTTCCTAAAATTTAACTATTTCTGGACAGTAACCCAACAATAAGTTGTCCTATTGGTCTGAAGATTACTTGACAGGTAGATCTAAACCTGTTTAACACTTTCACCTATGTCAGTTTTGCTCTTACTGCTTTAGTTTTTGAGATGAAAGCCAAAACTTCATTTGACCCCTATGTTCTATTTTAAGAAACTGCCGCCATGTTTTTGAATGGATTAAATCCCCGAATACAATCTTTAAACTAAATACCCTAAGGAACATCCAGTCAAAGTTTGTAAGTATTTGGCCCAGAAGTTTCAAAGAAGATTTTTGAAAAAGTAATAGACTTGCACGAAAAAATGTAAAAAATAAACATTTCAAGGGCAATAACTCCTTAAGAAGACAATTGACTATTTTGATCATTTGACTTTTTTGTATATCCTACTTAGCTGAACATTTTTGCCATCTACACTTTCTATCTATCAATTTTAATATTAAAGATAATAACCAAAAACAGTAAAATTTCATAAAAATAAACTATTTCGGACAGTAACCCTACAATGGTGGCCATGTTTGTTAATGGATCAAAACTTCTGATATAATTTATAAACCAGTTACCCTAGTTAAAGTTAAGAAGTATTAGGCCCAGTAGTTTCAGAGGAGAAGATTTTAAAATGTTAGCAAACATGATGAACAAATTGTGTAAAATTGTCTTTAAAGGGCAATAACTCCTTAAGGGGTCAATTGACAATTGATAACAGGCGCAAAGAAAGTAAATTATGATGAACCATCTCAACCAAAAACAAGTTCGAAGGAGGAAAAGAACTGTGATAAGATTATTTTTCTCTTACAGAATTTATTGGCAATTATATGCACCAGACTTCTTATTATGAAATTCACTTTGAAGTTCCAAAAAATATGTTAATCAAACATACTACCAATTTTACCAGATTACCAGCCACTTCCGATAGTTTAATGAAGGAACACAGCATTTACATTCAGCATAGACTAGCGATATTTTATTTAATTTTCCCTATACCTTTGGCGGTCAAACACTTTACAGCATTCCCGACGCAATTGGGAGTAGTACCTCTGGCCAAGGGAAGCCAGTCCAAATGGTACGGAATTGCTAGTAAAATGTCATCTATATTTGGAAATAAAGACTTTAATTGAACACAAAGTTTACACAGAACACAACTGACAATAATTTATTGTATAATTCGTTCCACTGTGCAAGAGTGCTAACACATGATGGCAGAATAATTTTAACAAACATTTTAACAACAAAAACATTGTATTTTTATATTATTTTATTTTAATAGTTTACTTCCATATACACTTACTTTCACTTCCTCTTTCAATTGCTATTTATAATGTTACTCACCAAAGCAACATTGTGCTGTTTTAATTTTCTCAACCCGATTTTTTACCTCAGCATGATTTTATGTATTGTTTTCTATCCTGATGAAGGTGGCCTAGCCACCGAAACATGTTGATCTCAATAAATTACTGGAGCATTCCTTAAAGTGTTGTTGTTACAGGACCTTCTACATTTAATCAAAACTGATGATAGTTTTTGATGAAAAGTTATATAAAATATGACGAAAATTTGTTCATATGACGAAACTACAGCAAATTGTGATCGTTTGAAAAGTATTGAAATAAATATAAGAACTGTCCGCGTGGAAAACATTTTGTTCAAATGACAAAACTATGATAAATGAACTGCAAATTGTGGTCGTTCGCAAAATTGAAATGCTGACTGACCGATTTTACTGGGAAAAATAATTATGATGGTCAATAATATATGAGATTAATTAATTAACGGATTAGTGACCCATTCGATGGCAATAACAATGAATAAGCGGATTACCTATAATTAAATTTTTAAAACCTTTTCGTAAATGCAAAAATGACAAGCTCTAGCAAAATCACTGCCAGTAGGCAGATATACTTATAGTACAAGTATTCTTAAAGTAATATGGAGGTATAGTTCTATTCTTGAATCTGTTGTTTTCAAAATACTGCCTTCTTTACAATGTACAAGCCTCAAAGGAGTAATTTTTGAAGGTTTTGGACAGTTGCCATGGTTGCTGTGTGAAGTAGATGTATGAGACATGTTTTGACCTCCCAAAACTTAAAATGACACCATTATAATTTATAAGAAAAGATTTACTGAAACAAGTTAACTTTTAGAGAAGAAAAAGTGGAGGCTAAAACCTTGGAAGGAAAATTTTTAATCTGACAAATTAACTTTAACTTACATCTTCAAGTTAATATACAAATGATTTGTACAAATATTACTCCTGACTTTTGACTGGATGGTTCATTAATTGACATTAAACATGAAAAAGACAGAGCTATCATTCACTTTAGCAGTATTATTCTTTATATGCTTACAATAATATCAATGTTTTTTCTGAGCTTGTTTTTCAGTTTGTTTTCATCTTTATCTTTTCCTTCAGCTGACTGATTCTCTCTGTGTGAAAACTGTAACTGACCATGCTGACCATCCATTTCAGACAACATTATTCAAATAATTCCTACAAATAGAAACCCATGGAAAATATAAAAAAAAAGTAATCATTGCTATATCATCACAATTATTTTAACGTGCTCCCTGATTCTGTGTTGATTGTTTATCAAGGTCATGATGGCTGGTAAACATTGGCGACAAAAAAGTTAATTCGCAGCCAAATTTTTTTATCAACAATCACAGAAAGAAATATACATCATAGATAACTTAGTTTAATATATATGCACGCATTAGTTCAATATTTCTGAACATTATAATCAAAAGAAACTCATTTCATGTGACTTTAAGAAATATCATGTACATGTACATTGATATACAGCATATACCTGTATACAGTAAATTGCTTGCTACATTTAAGAACATTTAGTAAGCAAGCTCACATATACCCCCACCTCCAATATGAAGGGGAAAAGCTTTTACAAGTTTAAGTGATCTCCTGGCATAGTTTTCACTGTCCATTTCAAGGTATAATTCTTTTCTGTTATGTTGGACAGTTATATATTGTCTACATAAATCAATTTTAAAAAACTATGACCTTAGACATGTTAGATACAGCAACCTCAAAATCAATAGGGATCTTTCTCTCATTATACATGTTATATATGTACATGTATGTTATATGGGACTACATGTATATCATATGTAGTATTTGATGAAATATCTGGTAACAACTTTTTTGCACAAATTAAGCTCTATTTTTAATTCAAATATGACTTAGTGACATCAAAATCAAGTGGAACCTTCTTTTCATTATACTTTACTATACACACTGTATGTCCATGTAAGGTTGCAATCTGATATCATGTATTTGAGCTACATGTAGCATCTGAAAGCAAAAATGACTGACTGACTGGTCAAAAACTACACTGCAGCTATAATCATAATAATGGAAAACACATATTCCTCGATTCTGGGATGGACATTAATTAAAGTTCATCAAAATCCCTGATGGACACAATTTAACGATTGGGACATGTCACCTACATTGTAGATAATGTCCCCATTGATCTGCGAAGTCCGCGATGACAGTCTATTAACAGGATTTTTAAAGATTTTAAAATCAATTCCAGTACTGAAGTTCGCTATCTTTTTGTGCATGTTGTGAGTGCAAATAAGATAAGCAACAAGGTCTATCTGTAGAATTAAAAAAAAATGTTTAAACACTTCTTTATTTATAAAAAAATTTATGATGTGATAACTAAATTACTTCTTGTGTTGATTCAACGAAAAATATTTTAAAATTTCGTCTTCCAACATGTCCAATAAAGAGTGAATTGTTTTTACTAATTAAAACATGCTACCTTTATTGTACCCCAATGTATATGTTACATGTACATAGATTACAATACCTGTTAATCATTACCCCAAGATGTTGGAAATTAAAGGCTTATAAACGAATGACAAGTTGTCCTAAATACAAATGTACATGTACAATGTATCAATCAATGCACACCTGCTATTACATGAATAAACAAATTTGTGTCCAGTTTATATGTTAACAGGTACACAGGTAAAAGAAGTGGGTTAATTGAACACTTACATAACTATGGTTGCATTTTTAATTATTATCATGATGATTATTTCATTGATTGTTGAATAATGGTTTAAACCAAACAATTTAACTGGATTGCAAGCATCACATGTACTTTAATGTGCTTTAATGATTGGATTGTCTGATTATTGTCTTTGATGCAATTTTATTTGAATGACACCGAGTATTTATATATTCATCAGCCATAAAAGCCCATCAATTCTTTTTGCATATGTTATAAATGTGTAATTTATAATACAAGATTTCCCCCTAATTTTTTAAATGTTATAATCAGATAATTACAAAAGTATGATTTCATTCTAAAGCAAATTACTAAATGACATTTTTACTCATTTTGACTGATTGAAAGTTTGTTGTTAAACATGTTAAATATCCAGTGTCAAATATTTTGTATATATATTTTTTCTGATAAATAATGTTGTAGGTTTACATTTTTATTTATATAATGCTTAGGGTCAACTTCCCGCCTTCAAAATCCTGGGACTGTTATAGAACAGGAGAGTTATATAACAGAATTAGGTGGATACATTAAGTATACATAAACGACTGAGTACTGCTATATACTGTATGGTTTACTTGTATTATATAATGGATAGATATAGGAAGATGTGGTATGAGTGCCAATGAGACAACTCTCCATCCAAGTTACAATTTATAAAAGTAAACCATTATAGGTCAAGGTACGGCCTTCAACACGGAGCATTGGCTCACACCGAACAGCAAGCTATAAAGGGCCGCAAAAAATTACTAGTGTAAAACCATTCAAACGGAAAAACCAACGGTCTAATCTATATAAAAACGAGAAGCGAAAAAACCACATAAACAGACGACAACTACTGTAATCAGATTCCTGACTTAGGACAGGTGCAAACATTTGCAGCGGGATTAAACATTTTAATGGTACCAAACCTTCTCCCTTTCTGAAACAATAGTATAACATTACAACATAGAAAAACACACTATAAAATATCAATTGGAAGGCTTAATTCAATCAAAAAACGTAAATAAACACACAATGAACGAATAAATTTGACCTGTGACACCTGAATGCAAATACACAGTTAATAAAAAATTACAAGGGATAAATAATTAAAGTCAAAATATAGACTGTTTAATATAAAAATGGTATTTCAGCCTCAATAAGTTTGTGAAACTATGCCTAAACAGATTTTGTTTGGTTTGCTACTGGAGGCTTGTAACTGAGCAGTATTTTGAAGATAACAAAGGAGATTTTCATTGTCCATTAAATTATACTTAAATCATGTATATCAAGTTATCAATAGTAAAGACGATTATTAATGACAGACAATAAAGCACTCTGTTAGAGCATTGTAGTTAAGAAAAATTAAAGAAAAGAAGAAAATAAGAATTTTTCACTCATATATATACAATGTAAGTTAAAAAATCTGAATGTCTAAGGGATATGACTCTACCTCCAATATAATTGACCTGTACATGTACAAGTAAATAAAAAAATACTTGTATAAGTATTACCCCTGACTGTATGTATTTTTCATTCAATTTGCCTTAGAGTAAATCTTTTTACCAAAAAAAAACATGAATTTAAGGAGTGTATTATGAAAGTTGGCAAAACATGGGGGAGTAACTCCAATTTTTTGTCAATCAACTTTGAAATACACAAATTATTTATGACCTTAAGCTTAATTAAGTTGGTGTTGATAAACAGTGTGTTTGACACCAAAGCTGTCAAGTGAAGCCATGCTAGTTGAACTTCCTGTCCAGGAAGAATTATGAATTTGCCGTTATTTCAAAGGATATAATCACTTATGAAATCAGTCTAAAGGCTCAAGAATCTGGTGAAAATGAGTAATTTTTTTTTTCGAAATTCCCGGTTTATGAACCCAATTATTTATTAAAACTATGGATTCCCAACCCTAATAGTCCAGTCAAGTGTGTTATTCACCCTAAATAATGAATTATTTTTGCGTAATTTATAAATCTATTTTTGTAATTTAAAGAAATCTTCTTTCGTTCTTAAAATAGAGCACCAATCAAAAAGCAATCGTAACTACTCGGGCATTCTAACTCACTTATATTAAAGTAAATGTAAGTGAAGCGATAAGGTTCGAGAAGTTACAAATGGCAGAACTGGGTCCTTGTCCGAATCTTTAAATGGTTTGTCCCTTGCTAAAATTTGGTATCCCAATAGACAATCGGCACCTGAGTTCATAAAATTTTCTTTTCATAAAACGGAATAAAAGAGGTAGAAAAAGCACCTCTTGTGCCTAAGACGTAGTTTATTAAATTATCTCAAAACTGACACATTCTGAGGAATAGAGAAATGTCACCCTTATTATTAGTTCACACATGGAGAAAGCAATAACTCTGTGTGCAATGACACTGGACATTAAATAACCATCCATCATCATGATCATATATTTATAGTGACTGTTTTGCTGCTTACATGGACAATATTTTGGTTTATGTCACTAAATTGGGTAAAAATAAATCTGTCCATGAATCGGTTAATTGTTTTAACACATTCACAGAACTATAATATTGATGCATCATACACATAACAAATGAATCAATTTTACCCAAACAGAGTATAAATGTCTCAATTTTAAAACCATGATGAAAAAACCCCAATACATTCAGAAATATTGGATTCAATCTTTGCCTGGGGGATGAACTTGACTGATGATGCAAAGGAAAAAACTATTTTACTCAATTACAAAAAAAAATGAGGAGTAAAAAACCTAATTAGTAAATTCTTATCTGGAGCTCTGTGTGCATGTACTGATTTTGTCTCATGGATGGATACCCCATATCCTTTTTTTTTCTATTATGTTAATTTGTTCACAGGCATGCAGTATTTGTCACTTGCTGGCAGGCAACCCCCCCCCCACCCCCACCCCCCAAAAAACCCCAAACAAAACCAAACAAAACAAACCAACAATTTAGCGACGCTGGTTGCCCATTAACCGTCCACTCCCTACTTATCATGCTTATTTTGCGTATTCGAACCTCAATCAGGCTTTGACTTCAAAACCTCAAATGACAAATCGTTCGTGGTGCATTGTGTTCAATGGCGAACACGCAGGTCCTGCGGATTGTCTTTAGAGACTGCATATTTCGAATAACATACGACCGTTTGTTTTTTACCCCAGCCTGATACTGATAGTGATAGTCCCTGTGGTATCCCCTCTGTCCCTGTGTGTAGTAAAATATACGGTAGAAAGAGTTGAAGATTGGCTGAATTGTCTGGCATGTATTTTAAGTTATAACCGGTTTTAATCCTTCATTTTTGACATAAGTAGATCTGTAAATATGTAATGTTTGAAATCCTTCCACTTCGTTCGACGGAAGCTTCAAAATCTCACACTTCCGGCAAAGGGTTAAAGACAAAATGTGTCAACGATCCCGGGGATAACCCCTTTTATCAAGAAATAAGAAAATGGATAGGATTTGCTTAAACAAATTATAGAAATT